ATCTGGTATGCGAAACAAAAGACTATCTGGTAATTTCAAGGCCTACCTAGCAGTTTCTGCTTTTTTTTAAAGAACCAAGATTTGGCAATGTCAATGGGTTATACATTTTTGGAATTGAAATTAAAAACTCTAATCATCTGCGCAAAAATCCAGTACGATAACCTCTAGAAAAAAATAAATTTGATGTCGGAGGAAAGACTCGAAACGCCATATTGGAATTCTAATAATGCCCTCTTATAAAGGAGAAAAGGTAGTATTGTTAACGTGCAGTTTATTTCAGCATCCCAATACAAATAAAACCAGGAAAAAAATAATGATGATTTTGGATAAAAATCGGTTTTTCCAACTTTCAATTTCAAAACTTTCTAAGCGGCATTCTGATAATCACCTCTTTACGCAACTTAGCCCCCAATTTAAGCGATTTCTTATCTCTTTCAGTCTTCTAGGTCCCAATGGTCTATCGAATTTGAAACACCCTGTATACACTATAGCTCCCGACTGACAATGCGAACTGGGAATAGTTCCTATACACAGCTTGCTATTTTTTCTCTCGCAGTGATCGATTCTTGTAATAGATAAGCACTTTGTGCTGTCTTATTTCGATAGAGTGCATTTATTTTCCTCATTTATTCTTAATCATGTTCGTTTATCAGTTACCTACAACTTTTTCCGACATATTTATTTGGAGGTACTGATGCTATGCGAGGTTAGTGGACCCAAAGGCTAAAATTTTGTCAATTCATTTGTATAAGAACCCTTTCCTCGTTGTATTAATATTTACATCCTCTGTCATACACGGAGGACGACATAATCCCTGAGAGTACGCCTTTGAACTCTGGTGCACATATTAATTTACACTGCACAGAACTCATGCGTTGTTCGAAACTCATCAAGAGGTGTAGTTTAATATACAATCTTCGTTCGGCGTCCGTTTGCCATGAAAGGGGGCTTTATTTTATTTTTAAAGCCGGATCACCGCATTTTCAATGCGACGTGTAAAGTAGACATGTTAACAACCTGTTTCATTTAAAATTCCCGTATGCATGCGACGAACAACTTATACAAACACACACACACAGAAGGGTATTCATCAGAGGAGTTACGATTTGCCGAATTTTATGCATGTCGTGCAGGATGTTTGTTAGTCTTTGATGGCAGGGGTGGATTCAGAGATGCTCGATAGAGGTATGGAGTGCCATGTCTGGTTTTACAAGCTCATAAATTAGGCGTAGGCATAGGAAACTAAATATCTGAATTAAAAATGAAAAAAGAAAGATCCGTCTTCAGAACAAAGGTATTTTATACACTAGTTGCGATATTTCAGCTTACCTGTAACCGTATACAGGGAAAACCAAATTGATCTGACGGCTTGAGTTCAATGTGTACGAGAGACAAGCGTGATAAGTATCAACACATGTTAGAAAGAGATAGAAGCCTGCTGAGAGTCATCACATCATCATTGCCTGGCATCGGTGAGGCAGAAAGTCGTACAATCTGCCGCGTGGCCAATATGTTATACCAAAAAATCAGCACAAAGGAGGTCTGTTCGAACATTTAATTTAAAATTTTGTTTTCATTCAAACTCTTTATATAAGATTTTTAGGTATATATGAGACCTACAAAATGAGACCACCCGTAAAAAGATCCAACTAAAAGCAAAAGTGTTATCGCCGAAAACCGAGGCATGTTTTGGCACTCGTTGGTAATGCAACGATGGTTTCTCGCTGATACTTGAAATTCTCCAGTTCGTAAGATTCGTACTTCTAAATAAATAGAATAAAATTGGAGTAGATTCGTCAAGTAGTTGTAAAGAATTTCAATTGTTTATCCCAGAACACCTGTTTTCCGCCTATCACTACTAGTTTATTTATTATTATACAGGGTTAGTTTAAAGGCCATTTTATAGCTAAATACACTAGTTTTCCGGAAGATAACTGCTATTTTTATGCAAAAAAGGATGGATTACGTTTTTTTCTTCTAAACAAATTCAAATATTTCGTATTTGTGAGTAATTCGCAACAAAAGATGATAGATTATTTTAAAATGTGTATAGTAACGTATCATTTTCGAATATCGTAGCGTATATTTGTTCAATTACCCACAAATACGATGTTTGAATTTGTTTAGACGAAAAAAACGTAACGTTCGGTTTTCGTATAAAAATAACATTTATCTTCCGGAATGGTTTGTGTTTCATATCGGCTCTTAGAACGAACCCTGTATATTATTGCTCAATAAACTAGTAGTGATGGCCGGAAAACAGGTGTTTTGGGATAAACTATTGGAAATTCTCAAAAAACTACTTAACCAATATATTTCAATTTTGTTGTTATTTAGAAGTATGAATCTTACGGATTTGAAGAATTTCAAGTAGTTGCGTGAAATTATCGTAGCATTACCAACAAGTGCCAAAACCTGCATTTTGCCTCGTTTTTCGGTATTAGTCGGATCTTTTTACGTGTGGTCTCATTTTGTAGGTCTCATAAATCCCTAAAAATATTGTATAAGAAGTTTTTTCGTTCCTGTCAACACTTTCGATTGAATCCCAAAAAACAAGTTCCTTTGTTGTCAAAAAAAGTTTTTCCACAAAAAATTGGTGTACCCATTTTATGCGTCCATGTTTTAAATACCCCCTTGAACAACTTGCGCCGATAAAATAAGGCTTTATTATTTTTTCCTGGAAAATTTGCTAATATGATTAGACTAGCACTCATTCGTCAGCATGTAGAAAAATTAGGAATCCGATACGGTCCAGGTTCGGTGCCTTGTCATTCCATATGTATGTGTTGACATGGCGTCGTAATCTCTTTAATAAAGAGCAAGGATCGAGAAATATTACATGTTTTACGAAGGTTTGGAGCCCAGAGCGGCTAAATACGGAGCAGCTCTTCTTTATTAATATTAAAGTCTGTCGTATTTGCAGTCTACATGCAGCTACATTTCTATATACGTGGCATAATATTACACATGATGTTTATTATGGTTCTTGGTTCGGCAAACGAGTATGGGGAAAGCTTTGACGCGATCTATATCTATACTCACATACACGTGAAAGTTCAAGGCAAGTATGGTAAGTCAGCTTAATTCTTAACACCGGCTTATGATAATACTAAGTGGAATTTTACTTCCAACGTACTCTGTAAAATAGTATAAATAGAATTCTATATTACTCATGATTTGGCACCACTTTAGATATCATCCCTGTGATCTACGCATCCCAAATATACAGTTCAAACAAGTCTTGAAGAAATTGCGGTTGTTTAAGTACATATATTGTTACAACCTTTTTATAAAACATCTCCATAAATGTGAGTAGTGTTAGACATAATATAAATAGCATTGTCGTAAGAGAAGCTGATGCGGTATACAGTTATGTGACCTGCTTGGAAAACTGGTTTTTCTTCTGGCTAAGGGACATTTGAGTGTTCAATTACATCGGTAAGAATCATACTTAATCCGGTTTCAATAATCACTATGGCCGGAACCTTGGAAATTTCCAAAACAAGAAGTATGAATCGACGTTATGTGTGAAACTCAAATTAACTCACTTTCTGTCCGCCATATTTTAATTGAGCAGCTTCATCTCTTAGACTTGCCCCTCTCATCATCATAAGTCATGATCTCCCAGGTGTTATTTTAGTTTTTCTTGTATTGATAATAATCTAAAGCATCCCATGGCTCGATGAATGGGCGAGTTGGACTGTCCAACTATCGATGGCTCCTGTCTTCCGGACAGTCACGGGACCCTCTAGCACCAGCGGGCCGTCGGTGATCTAGCTCTCTTCTACCGCTATGCCAGCTGCCTTTGCTCCTCCCCAGAACTCTACTCCATGATGCCGTCGCGTGATATGCTTGCCAAATAGACCCGCCTGACTTCAACCAGCCATCCTAACTGGGTCGTACTGGTCGATAAGTCCGCTCCTTAGTCCCTAGGGTATCTTGATTGTGGAACAATCCCAGTTCTACTATTCTTAACAATTTTTATTTAAGCTCCTCGTAACAGCCGAGGTCTCCTGGCGTTTAGGTTTCTGCCTAAAAACGTTGAGAGTCTGACTTTTCAAACAGCATTTCATCCTCCAGCAACAAGATTCCAATCAGACCGTGTATTTCAAGGGAGTAGGGGGTAGCACGTAACATGAGGGTGCCACGACACGCGCAGCGGTTTGACACGGTGCGAAATACACCAGGCTGTGACAAGCGGGTCGCATCTTGGTCGACATGCCTACCGGACCAACCGTAAGTGCAAACATGGCGGTTTTCACTTTGGATGACAGGAGACAAAGGACTAGCAGGAAGTAAATACAGAGTTAGTTTGGGGTATGTGCGGTCAGAGAGACCTTGTTTGTTGGAAACCTATTTTCAGTATTCACATCCAATGCAGCGGACATTGTAATCGAAACTTTCGATCTTCCGCAACAAATATTGACGTCAAGGATTTTTAAACTATTTTGTTTTGAATCTAAGGACCACAAAGTATTTTTGGAGCAAATAATGTAACCTAAGGGATTTTACAACCTGGGGTGACATTTCATGACATAATAACTGCATACATACAAATACATACTAACATTAAACAGTAATCCAGTAGTACTGGATTAGAACATAAATGAATCAGCGTATGCAGAAACGACACATGTCCATTTTTGTACAAAATGGGGTTATACCGGAAATCGCAAATATATAGATATTTACGTCGAACTACGAAGAAATAACACGTGTCCGTGTTATACTTTAAGAGAAAACGATGTGTAGCTTGGACAATAGTCTGCAGAAACAGCACATGTCCAGGAAATGTGCTGTTTCTGCGGAACAAATTATATCGGTAGCGGTCTTCTTGGTCATGCGCATCTTCCGCAAATGATTTTCTTCTTGTGTAATCGCTTGCATCAAAAAATGTGAGAGAACCTTATTTTGGTGAAAAATAGAGTTTGCTTATTTTATTGTTTGCTTATCTCGTCAGTAGTTGTTTTGTGGTCCGCTGTAGTGTTTACTAGTACGCGATGGATTCCACTGAAAACGAAAGTTCTTCCCATCGAAAGAAGAGGGCCAATCCTGATTTCTACCAAAGAAGCATTATTAAAAAGGAACGTGTAAAAGGCGAACCTTATAAAAACTACAAGGGTAATAATATTCCTGGCAAAATACTTGGCTCCGCTTGCAGGTAACTTTAGAACGGCTTTTGATTTCTGCTTGACTTCTGAAAAATGTTTTCTGATCTTTTAGTTGTCGAGCAAAGTGTTTTGAAAAATTCGCCAACGAAGAACTGCACTCAAATATGGTGCGCTTTATTTCTCTTGAATCTAAGGATCAACAGGACATATGTCTGCAAGGACTGATAGAGGTTCGAAGTATACAGCGGCGGCGCGCTAGGGTTGAGGTGGGAACTAAAGCAAAATCCAATACCTTTGAATACACATTCAAGGGTTCAGACAAGATTGAAGTTTGTTTGAAAGCATTTATCTCAGTATATGGTATAACTTTGGGTCGAGTTAGAAGACTTAAAGATCTTGCCGTGCTAGGAAAATCCCCTAGAGGCTTACGTGGAAAAAATCCAAGTGGTAATCAACTCGGCGAAGAACTTCAGTTTGCTGTTCGAGAACACATTCAGTCGTTTCCCGTTAAATTAAGCCATTATGCAAATCGAGAAGTTAAGTACTTAAATAGTGAGCTGAATTTAAAGATTAGGTACGACTTAGGAAAAATACCCCACATTGAAAGTCAGCTACCCATATTACACAAAGTATTTTCGAGAACATTCTTTTTTGAGATTCGGACGCCCTCAAGTTGATATGTGTGCAACATGTGAGACTTTAAGCAATAAAATAAAAAACACGCACTTAAATGATACTTCCAAACGAGCAGCAGTTGCAGAGCTGCTAGTCCATAAACGGCGAACTATAAAATGTTATGCAAAACTGAAAAGCGAGTCTAATGAACCTTGTGATTCAAAAAATTTTCTAGCTTTCGACTTTATGCAAAATGTTCAGCTGCCAAAAACACCTGTAGGTGATTACCAGCAACTGGCCATTTCGGTGTTTTGTATAGGTACATAATATCAAGGAAAATACTGCATGAATGTATATATATATATATATATATATATATATACAGGGTTATCCAAATTAAGTGTCCACCATTAGTAACTTTGTTATTAGTGAAAATACAAAGTTGTTTGAATTAGCAAACTAGTAGCATTTTTAACGCTGGTAAAAATGAGAAATAAAAAAAAACAATTGAGAGTCGTTATTTTGATTTTTTTCAGTAAAATAACATTTTTTTAAATGGAAACCCCTGTATATTATATTTTTTTCTGTTAAAGCATCAAATTTTAAACAAAAAAGTTCATAATGACTTTTCCGCTAAAGTCAAAAATAAAGTCAAAATAACGATAAATATTTTTAATTATTTGCAGTATTATAATATTAAGACGGCTATGAAAACAACATGGCGTTCGCGATTTGACAGCATTAAGATAAGCGACAAATTGTTAAACTGGACATACTCGCAACTAGAAGGCTTTGGAAAACAATGATAAAATCAAATAATGTCAAACATTAGTGTAAATACTTGTTTATAAGCTTTATTGTGTCATTAATTTAAAGAAAAATGTTCTCCCATGAAGAAAAGTGTGATATGTTAGAATGCTATTTAGTGTGCAGAAAATCCTCCTTGAGAGCAAGAGAATACTACAGTGAATTATATCCCGCTCGCATTCAACCGTATGAACGATATTTTCTGAGACTTTATCGAAAATTTAGGGGCAACGAAAATGTTTTTGCTAAAACAAGGGCAAAAAAAGAATTCATAATAAGCGAGGCCACGGAAATTGCAGTTATTGGATATTTTGAAGCTTATCGTGAGAATTCAATAGCAGATATTCTCAAGGACTCTAATTTCAGTTATGGTACTGTTCAAAGGATTTTAAAAAAATACAAATTTATTCCGGATAAGTACCGACCAGTTCAAACGCTTTTGGCAGGGGATCCAGAGAGAAGACTTGTTTTTTGCCATTGGTATCTTAGCTTCTGTCGCCAAAATGTAAATAACTTTCGTTACCTTTTATGGACAGATGAATCAAATTTTTCAAATTCTGGAATGTTTAATAGAAAAAACCACCATTATTGGTCAAGAGAAAATCTTTTGTTAGTACATCCAAGAGGCCCACAAGTCCGTTTCAGTTTCAACGTTTGGTGCGGTATAATTGGTTCAAAAATTGTTGGCCCGTTCTTTTATGAGGGAACCCTAACTGGTGAAAGATATGTGGAATTTATGTCAGAAATTCTGACTAATTTCTTAGACGAATTGGATCTTATAAGTAGACATCATCTGCATTTTCAGCAAGATGGCGCACCTGCCCACAACTCCAGAGGTACTTATCATTTTCTAAGTACTACTTTTAATGATCAGTGGATAGGAGCAAATGGCCCAATACAGTGGCCTCCCAGATCACCAGATCTAAACCCACTTGATTACTTCTTGTGGGGTTACTTAAAGAACCAAATTTACAAGCGAAGGTACGATAACCTTGACGCGTTAAAGACTGCAGGTAGGGAAAAGATAACCCAGATAGATGGTAGGACCATACTTAAGACAGTTCGAGCAGTTGAAAAACGTGCCCAAAAATGTATTGAAGAACAAGGTGGTGTTTTCGAGCATCTTCTTTAAAAAAAATTGTTATTGTATTTTGTAAGATTATAAGTTGATGTTGAAAATAAAGTTTGTCGATACAATTTAATTGTTTCAGATTGGAGGCCATAACTTCAACAATTTGTAACCTAGGAGAAAAGTTATTGTAAGCTTTTTTGTTTAAAATTTGATGCTTTAACAGAAAAAAATATAATATACAGGGGTTTCCATTTAAAAAAATTTTATTTTACTGAAAAAAATCAAAATAACGACTCTCAATTGTTTTTTTTTATTTCTCGTTTTTACCAGCGTTAAAAATGCTACTAGTTTGCTAATTCAAACAACTTTGTATTTTCACTAATAACAAAGTTACTAATGGTGGACACTTAATTTGGATAACCCTGTATATATATATATATATAGGTATATCATGAAGAAAACTGCCAACGAGATTTGCTCTTTTCTTTTGGATTACCTTAAGGATGTTCCCAGAAATAGTAGAAATGAGATCCACTTATATAGTGACAACTGCTGTGGACAAAATCAGAATCACACTTTGGTTCGCATGCTTCTTGCACTGACAGATAGTGGCCAGTTTTCCAAAATCGTACACTATTTTCCTATAAGAGGTCACTCTTTCCTTCCCTGCGATAGAGACTTTGCTAGTGTGAAGAGAGAACTAAAAAAACATGACAGAATCTCCACGGTTCATCAACTAACCGAATTGATTGCAATGAGCAGCAAGTTGAATAAATTTACAGTCATAGAAGTAAAAACAGAAGATATTATAAACTTTAAAGTGTGGTGGCCAAAACTATACAAAAAAACGTAATATCTGAGGAAACTTCTTCCAACATTACACCACGTAAGTTCAAGGTCCATTTCAATATAAGTACCTATTCACAATTTAATTACGACAAACAAAGAAAGGGTTGCGTCAAGGCTTCGCAATTCATAGACGGAGCTTTCCAACACACATTCAAACTCCAACAGTCAGGGAAGACTGCAGTAGCGTTACCTTCTCAACAGGCCTATCCATTGGGAAAAGTCCCTATAAAGATGACAAAAATGGAACACATAAGAAAATGTTTTTTTTCAATTTGTAATAAATAATCACGTTCCATTACACAAAAGTATTTCAATTTCATCCCTACGCTATGCAGAAAGCTCACATGTCCAATTCTTTAGAAGGCTGTACAAACTTTTTCTTTTTATTTTGAACAAAATTACATGTTAGAAGAAATTACAGCCGCCTTAAACTATGATTTCCAACCGTTAAACACAGGGCGCATTTATTTCAACAAATAATATAATGTTTTTCCATTTCCTCGAAAATCACTTTTTTGGACATGTGTCGTTTCTGCAAACGCCGATTCAAATGTTCCAGAATGTCGGGCTTATGGTATATCTTTAAAGTTAAACTAACGAAGTTGCATGACTTACTTGCACATGGCGTCAAGTCAATAATTTATCGCTTCGATTTTGATGAAATTTAGACACAAAGTTACTGCTATGCCTAAGACAAATAAGCTTCAGGTAAGTAGCTTTTTAAATTCGATCCACCCAGTGGCGGCGGAGCTACAAGTGAAAAACAAATAGAATGAAAATGCTAAAACTTCGTTTTTGACGTTTCACAGACACCTATTTCTATCAGACACATTTCACACATTGATTTCTCTGTACTTAACACTTCAGACAGGTATTTTCAACACACGCGTGGAATACGAAGAACATTTTTTCAGAGGCTAACCGCTGGCTTATGATGTTTTGTCATAGCAACGTTGCCAGACGGTCAGTACTGTCGGGTGGGTAGGGGATAAATTTCTGGGTCGTAACGTTGTCATTTAGGTGGAAACTAGGAACTATTTGTATGGACCTGTTTAACTGACTTGGTCCCTTTGATTTTTCTGTTACACATATTCGTTGGAAACTGTTTTCTTAGAGAGGTTATTAACTAATCGTTTACGAACTGATGAAGCGTTGCGTGGGAAGAGCTTGACGCCATTTTTCTATCTACGATTGTACTTAAAAAATATATATTAGCACCAATTCTGCTCTAAAAGAAATGATGTGTCAGGGATTTCTAAAAAGTAATAGTACGTGGAAAATTAAATGCTTTATTCAAAAATTCAATAAACATTGCAAATACCACAGTGACGTAGATCTCATTTTTCTGTATTCTTCTATGACTCCCAGTTTCTATTCCAGTGGTGTAGTTTTAGTCACGATACTCTTTGTTGGTATTAATTATGCTGTTTTCACTAGGCATCAACTTTTGGTTCGATCCCTTAGCCCGAGTCGAATATATACTTTTTCTTGATTTCATTATTACAATGCATTGAATCTTAAGATCAGATCTATGTTTTTTGGAAATGTTCAAGTTTAAATTCTAGTATTACTTTCACACTTATTTATTACAGCACTTACAACTACTTTAGTTCAAATTTATGACTATATCGACTGGACTATGGAGATCCGCGCTGTTGACTATCTTCGAATCAATCAATCAATGTTACGGGCGTTTCTCATTCTTACTAAAAGTTCTAATTACAAAGGCGTTACATTATTTTTGAACTTACTTTCTGCCTTAAAAGTACCCCAACTGTTTCCCAATCTCCTTGTAGATATAGAAAATAATTCTCTGCGGCCACCAACTCAACAAAACTGACCGCATATATGATGAAGGAGCAGGAGGGTAATTAGTTTAATGAACAAAATCGCTGGACAAAGAAGTTGCCAATCTCCGGTGGACGCTTAACTTTCGGTGGGTCACATTCGCATATCCTGGCGCGGCAAGGTTTGAAGCGGCACCCGTGATAAATGGGATTATAGTTTAATATCAGCTGGGATGCTGCTGCTGTTATTATGTTAGCGTAATATTTGTGTCCCGGGTGTGTGGTGGTGGTGTGTGGCGGGTACCTCGGGTATTACGGTTGATGGGCGACCATGTGACGACCGAGAGGTCGCTTACATATACGGATGTTATCAGTGGCCGCGCGCGATCTCACAGACTCTTTTAGGGGGCCTTGTCTATGAAATATCTAATTCATGATTTTGAATGAAAACTCTCATATGAAGATACCTTAATAATTGTATAGTGTTAATGTTTGTAAAGGTCATGCGCAAGTATTCTTATTATTATTTTGCAGGAAAAGATTTTCT